TGTTTTCCATTAGCTGTATTTAAAATGTCTCTAGTTTGAACCTAAGGCTATCTAGCAGGGTCATCGTGTGAGGGAGAAAATTCATCATTGAACTATATGGTGTGCATCTCTGCTGTTTCTATTAGGTTTTGTGCAATTCTGAATTAAGAGAAGAAACACATCTTCCATGGATATAAATCAGCATTGGCCGGGGCTATGCTGATTTAAATTGACTAAGGAGGCTGCTCAATCTTTATTTGCAGGTCACCTTGAATACTTCCTTTCAGTTTTAGTTACTGGGGAGGTGTGACCTTAGAAGAATGAAGGGACAACTTATATTCCTTTTGTTTGTCTATGTATGTTAGTAGTCCTTGATAATCAAATATTGTTTTCTTCTCACAGAAAAAATGTCAAAAGAAAAAAAGGAAATTGTAAAGTGGATTTAGTTATTCATAAAGCTTGTAGCTCCAGACGAAGAACGCAGAAAGACGTGCATGAAAGACTGAGAAAATATTTGAGTTAAAACATGTGGAATCTTACATTGTTCCTTTTGGAGATAAATTGTTATAAGCTTTAAGTACCTTGGAAGGGTAGTTTCTTTCTTTTCTTTTCTTTTCTTTTCTTTTCTTTTCTTTCTTTTCTTTCTTTTCTTTCTTTTCTTTCTTTTCTTTCTTTTCTTTCTTTTCTTTCTTTTCTTTCTTTTCTTTCTTTTCTTTCTATTTTACATTTTATGATACTTCTGCCAGCTAAAGTGAATGACACTACAATGAATTTCTGAGTGGTTCTGTTGGCTTTAGATATTCACATTAGATACTGCTACTATGTCATTATCTATCTGTGTTACCTGGAAGTCATGAGAAAATGGTTTCACTGATGGATGATCCACAAGGATTTTCTTTTTCTGTCTTGGAGTAACTGGATTGCTAAAAAGGGGCAAAGCAGAATATAATTATTTATGCAACATAATCTCTCTGATGTTTAAAGTTAGTTGCTATGAGTTCATTATGGAAAAGATCATTTATATTTAACTCTGAGGTGGTAGGAAACAGCATACAAAATCACACAGTGTATGTCCTCGGAAATATAATTCAAACAAAACGACTATTTGGTATATTATCGTGGCTGCCTGTATCAGGTCATTTTTATTTTTGTTTATTTTATATCTATAGTTTAATTTACAGTGTTATCAATCAGCAAGGCTTTTGACACCGTCTCCCATCACATCCTCATGGGTAAACTCAGGAAGCGTGGGTTGGATGAGTGGACAGTGAAGTGGATTGAGAACTGGCTGGATGGCAGAGCTCAGAGGGTTGTGGTCAGCAGTGCAAAGTCTAGCTGGAAGCCTGTAGCTAGTGGTGTCCCCCAGGGGTCAGTCCTGGGTCCAGTCTCGTTCAGTGTATTCATCAACGACCTGGATGAAGGGACAAGAGTGCACTCTCAGCAAGTTTGCTGATGATACTAAACTGGGGAGAGTGGCTGATACCCCAGAAGACTGTGCTGCCATTCAGAGGGACCTGGACAGGCTGGAGAGGTGGGCGGAGAGGAACCTCCTGAAGTTCAACAAAGGCAAGTGCAAGGTCCTGCAGCTCGGGAGGAATAATCCCATGCAGCAGTACAGGCTGGGGGTTGACCTACTGGGAAGCAGTTCTGCCGAGAAGGACCTGGGAGTGCTGGTGGACAACAAAACAAGTTAAGCATGAGTCAACAATGTGCCCTTGTGGCCAGGCGGGCCAATGGTCTCCTGGGGTGCATTAGGCAGAGTGTTGCCAGCAGGTGGAGGGAGGTGATCCTCCCTCTCTGCTCAGCCCTGGTGAGGCCTCCCCTGGAGTCCTGTGTCCAGTTCTGGGCTCCCCAGTACAAGAGAGACATGGCACTCCTGGAGAGAGTCCAGCAGAGGGCTGCAAAGATGATGAGGGGACTGGAGCATCTCTCCTATGAGGAAAGGCTGCAAGAGCTGGGCCTGTTCAGCCTGGAGAAGAGAAGACTGAGAGGTGATCTCATCAATGTGTACAAGTATCTGAAGGGAAGGTGTCAAGAGGACGAGGCCAGACTCTTCTCTATGGTGCCCAGGGGCAGGACAAGAGGCAGCAGGCAGAAACTGAAACAGAGACAGTTCCATCTGAACATGAGGAAAAGCTTTTTTACTGTGAGGGTGACAGAGCATTGGAACAGGTTGCCCAGAGAGGTGGTGGAGTCTCCTTCCCTGGAGATATTCAAAACCCGTCTGGATGTGATCCTGGGCAATATGCTCTAGGTGACCCTGGTTGAGCAGGGAGGTTGGACTAGATGGTCTCCAGAGGTCCCTTCCAACCTCAGCCATTCTGTGTGATTCTTTGATAGCAGTAGGTGAAGGATATTATGTGCTAGATGCTTACTGAAGTTTTCTTTGATTGTTAATTTGAATCAGAGTTTAGATGAACTCATGATTTTAAGGAGTAAGTCACTTGTCAGCACTTATTTTGGTTTGAAAACTTGATGTATATGTTTTTCAGTAAGAATAATTATAAATAAATACATATTATTCATATGGGTTTCAGGATTGTCTGCACTAGAAGTTATCTGCAGTGTTGCCACATGTATAAATAAGAATTGTAATTCAAAGACTTTTCCCTCAAGTGTTGCCTTAACTCCAAGTCAGTAGATGTACTTGTAGAGGGCAGTAACAAGCAAGCTGCTCTGGTTGCAGAGAAGAAAGTTTTCCATAAGTTTGACACTGGGTGAAAGTGAGGAAGACAGCAATTCCAAATCTGATGAGGTGACAGATATACAGAAAATAAAACTGAAAAAAAACTAGTTATTTTAGTTTTATCCTAAAATGATACAGTTTTCAAAAGTCCAAACAACTAGCTTAGGAAAATTTTTCTCCCTTCCTTTTATGTAACAACCTAATTACACCAAAGCAAGTTGAATGTTAAATAGTGTGCACCTTTTTTAAAATAAATCTTGACTATATCAGATGATTGGAGTTAATGTGCTTCTTTCATATTATGCACAACCATCTTTCTGCAGAATTGTATAATTACTTCTTTAGCAGACTTCCTTATGTCCGGTGGATGTGTAGGCTCTCCTGGGATTTCTCGTAGTAATGATTTCATACCTTTTAACCTTATTGTCCTTCACAAATTCTGCTTTTAGAGAATAGGGTTCATACAAGATAAGCCATTCCATTTTTCCTAGAAACTGTATGGTAATTTTGTATTTAGTTGTCTTCTCACAATCCACATAGTGAAAACAGGTTCGCAGATCACAAATATTATATTTTGAACTTGTGATTTTAAACCACTGCAGGAGCTTAGATATTTTTTGATGCATTTCTTTCAAAGATTGATTTGTATTATCTTCTGTGTGGAAAGACAGTACTATATCTCAGTATAATTTCTTAGCATATAATTGTTGTATGCTTAGGTTCACAAATTTGTGGTCTTTATTTGTCCACACAAGGACGAGTATATTTTGGGAATGCACATATTTAAAATTGTAGTGTTTCACCCAGTTTTGTCATGGTTAAACCCCCCCCTCCCCCAGTGGATAAAAAAACATATATGAGCAGCTGATGATCCTTTCTTTCTCTTTACCGTGGTAGAATAGTGAGAGTTTTAGAACCCAAACAAATATTTTGCACTAATTTAATTGTCCCGAAGTTGCTTTTAGTAAGGAGTTTCGACTCTGTTAAATTTCTGTCAGGTAATGTTTTTTCCTGTTGCATAGCTTCCTCTTCCATCTCCCTCTCTCTCCCTTTCTCTCTCTCCCTTCTTGAAGAAAGGGCCTTCAAGTGAAATGCCTTTCTGGTGCTCATGTCAGGTGTTTATCCCCTTCAAATTCCCTGGTGAAAATGGTCTTTTTTCCCATCAGTTCCTATACATATGTTGCTATTAAATTATTAAAATCTGAAACATGAAAGTCAACTATGGCCTTCTAAGCGTCTTCCTGAGATGTAGTTTCTGCTGTAGTATAAACATACTCCTTCTAACCACTGTTTTCGCTGTGATGGAATCATCTTTGTTCTGACAAGGATCTTCCTATATTATGCCTTGAAATTTTGTGTGCGGGGAGGAGGGCGTACAGAGGATGTCCTTTCCTTTTTATGCCATTATGATCGTAATGAATGAAGAATCACCTTCATATTCTGCAAGAATTCTGTATTCTTTATAATCCTAGAAACTTCATTACATTCGACTTCCTCTTTTCCATTTTGGGATCAGTTCTTACAAAAAATCTTACAAAAGGTGGCATAATTTTTAATTCTTGGATCAACCAGAAGTGTCACTTCTACGTAGATGACAGGATTTTTTATTTTCCTTCCATTAACTTTTAATTCCTAAGACAAATGGAAAATGGCATTTCATTTCTACACTTAAATAATCTCAGTTTATTAATTTGTGGATTCAAGTTGAGATGGTGACCGAACCTCAGCAATACACTTGGGGCTGATCTGTTGGCTCATGATTTTCAGGATTCATGTTTCTTCTGTGCTCATACACCTGAGATTTCACACATGGACGTTACATTTGCTCATGTTATTTTGGGTCATCAGCTGTTTAGATCCCCAGAGCTGTCATAAAAAAAATTACAATGATGGGGCATTTAACAAGCTAGCTCCTTGTGCTGAGTCCAGAACATACGCTAAAACCATCTGGTGCCTGTATGTAAGACAACATCAACTAAAAAGTAGAATTCTAGTGCTGGAGCTCTGGTCCTCTACGAATACACAACCAGCATTCAAGACCAGAGTGTATTTCATGTGAGAATATAAGAAATAGCTCGAACGTGTGCAGGCATATTCCTGAATTAGGTTACGTCTGTGTGCCAGTCAGTCCAGGAAATGGTTATGATTCCTCTGTTTCTCACAGGAAAGGAGTTAAGCTGCTACAAACATTACTTTCACAAGTATCAGCAAATCGCTATGGAACAAAATGAAGAGAACTGTACTCCTAATGCTAATAATTTACCAGTAATTACTTTCAAAAAGGAGGCAAATATCATTTATACATTATGTAATTTCTTTCTTTCCTCTGCTCTAGGATACCAGATGGTCCTATTGATCAGGGACCAGCTGCAGGAAAGGTACATGCTTTAGAAGAGCAACTTTTAAAGGCCAAAGAACAGATAGAAAACTATAAGAAGCGGACAGGAGATGGTTGGTAGATAATTTGTTTTTTCTTTTAAAAAAATTTTGGTATTCCGTATCACAAATGTATTAGTTTCTTAGCAAACAGGCCCAGCTACAAATGCTGATTCTTTTATCTTTTTTTAACAGGAGGCCTGGGAAAAGACCATGAAATACTGAGGAGGAGGATTGAAAATGGGGCTAAGGAGCTTTGGTTTTTCCTGCAAAGTGAATTAAAGAAGTTGAAAAATCTAGAAGGAAGTGAACTGCAAAGACGTGTTGATGAATTTCTGTCTGATTTGGGTCATCAGGAAAGGTACGTATATTAGTTGCTAGTGCATTTTTGTTGTAGAAATCATACATTGATTTAAGTAGACTACTGACATATTGCTTAAATCTCTTATTTTATTCCACACAACAGTAATTTATATTATCATGACTAAGGCATGGACATAAACTTATAATTTATATTTTATAGGACATAGAGTATATATTCAGTTTATGTCTCTAGAACTGAAGGTAGGATCTTCTAACTTGTCCTTTTTTGGGGGGGGTGACAGTTGTTGCTTTTCAATTGTGTCTGTCTATGTATGTGGGTATAGAGATGTTTTATATATAACAAAGCCTTCAAAATACTTATTTTAGGGATCTAATTGTGCCTTTCATAAATACTAGAGCATAAGTTGTATTGATCATCAGGGTACTGTATAATTGGAAGTACTCTAAACCTGGAGAATATCTTAGTTTCTGGATTAACTGTCATTCTAAAGAGAGTCGTTTCTCTTCCTAATTAAAGCTCAACAGAATATATCAGATACAAATTACTTTTAATTACATTGTCATCATTATGTTGTTGAAAGACATTTGAATTATATTTTCAGCTGATGTTGATCTTCTGGCCTCCCCATTGCTGAAGCACCTTTTGTGTTAAATTGAAACATTCAGTATTAGTTTTGTACATGCAGAAGAAAATCAAGGAAATATTGTAAATTCAGTTAAATCTCCCTGTAAGCCTACTTTATTTAAAATACTATGTTCCCAAAAGGATTGCAATGGCAATTACTGTCTCATTAGTAAACAGTCGAAAGAAAATTGTTGAATTAACTGAATTTACCACAGTAATCAAGTGTCTTTTTCCCAACAAAGCTGAGATCTTCGTGCATGAACATCAGTAGTAATGCATGAGTCTTTGAAGATGATGTAGTTGTAGAAGGAAAATACTATTTTTTAAAAAAGTTTAAAAATAATATGAATTGGAATTATTAGTGTGGGCAAAGAATTTAGTCCATTTACTTTTGTAAATTAATCTTCAAATTCTTTAATCAGATTGTTGCAGATTGATGAACTCTAAAGTGAGAAGGGACCATTTAATGGTGCAGAGTTATTGCCTATATAAAACAGGCCACCATGCCTCATCCAGTCATCTCTCTGTTGAGTGCAATAATGTACGTTTGATTGAAGTAAAAGTTGTATTTGGCTATTGGCCAATAGCCAAATACAACTAATAGTTGTATTTGGCAATTTTTTGAAAAACCTCAGGTCTTCTTTTGAACTGTTAACTGATAGAGAAGCTTTCACTTCCCCAGATATTTTTTTTCAATGGTTACCTCCACTCAAAAATATTTTCTTGCCTATGAAGTTACTTCTGTTTGGGTTTCTTGAACTCAACTTCTAATCATTGTTTCTTGTTACACCTTTGAAAATGGTCACTACCAGAACTGGAACGTGTAGCCTAGCATCAGACTCACGGATGTCCTATACAGGGACAAAATCACTTTCGTACATATTCCTCTTCTGTTTATATCTCCTAGATCACATTTGCCAATTGTCGCAGTGAAATATGGATTAATGTCGCTGTGTGTTTAATTCCAGATTATGTTTATCTCTGTGCTTCCCAGGATTCACCCTTTTCTTCTTCCTTTCCTTCCTTGCTTCCTTTTCAACAGCAGTGAATATTAATGCATTGAGCCCAACTTACAAGTTACTCATATTTCTGTCTGACAGCCTTATGCTCGGTGCT